CGGTGAATAGGTACCAGACTCGTCTGGGAGGATAAAAGCACTGACTTGTACATCGGCGAGCCACAGCAAGTCATTGTATAGGCCACATACGCACTCATTACGCCACTACGATTCTGAATGGAAGTCGAGTGCGGGGGCGCATCCCTCAGAGGGGATTGATTAACGCCGAAAAACTTTATCTTTACTTTTGTAATGTTCTTAGTAGATGTCAAGAACATTCTTTGACATCGTATTAAAGATTGCTGAGATGTTTCAAATCAATTATTACATACAACCTTTTTACTCCTAAAAAATCCATGCATAATAGGAGATTTTAAATGTTTGTGATTGGTACATTTACATTAGTACACGTTCTTCATCCCGGGTCATTGATGTGTTCTTGTTCAATGTCAACATGCTCACAATGCACACATTGCGGACAGCTCCCCCAAGCACACTTTCCACGCCATTTTCTCCGTCGCGTCTCGTCCAATCAACAATTTGACTACTTTATTTGAAGACTTGTATCTCTCTAATTACGCCGACTTTCGCGTTTCTTCCTCACCTTCGCACTAATCCGGACAAACTAATGACTAATGACCGTCAATAAATGGGTACCCCAAAATTATCGCGAACCGTGCCTAGTGTTCCAGAGCTCGATACTTGATGTGTTTGTGAGGCGGTTGAATTTTACGTCAGGCGCGACTGTACTGGGCGACGATATTGCCAACCATATCCGTAAAGCGATCTGGCATTGATATCGACATCAACACTGCAAAGTGTTCAGTCACGAAGAGCAATACAGTTCTAATGTAGCCGACGACCTATCCACCGGAAATATCTGGTCATTCAGTCATAATAGTACAGCACCTTACACAATTCCTTTTTTTCCTGATAAAAATATATCGTATATTTATTACAAACGATAACAACACAATTTTTACACGATTCAAAGTGAAAACTGACAAGACATCTAGTAACCGTAACTAAGAGCTCAGAAACTCAAGAATACATACTACTTGCAACATGATAGTTGAGAATACACAGTAGTAATACTTGCATGTCCAGTTAACTAAACGGAAACTGGACTAGGCGAAGGAAGTTCATTAATAAATCTGCAATTTGATTGCTTCGGTAAAAGGTAGTATGATAAGAGATACATTAAAATTATTACAAAATTTATTGAATAAGGCCCTGAAGCTTTTCTCAATTGTGTCCGTAATCAAACAGACTGTTTGCAAATAAGCGCAAGTGTTTACATATAGCAGACAAGCTGTTTTCACGCCTTAGCTTTTCTTATCACAGTTTGCACTTTAAGATTAATTCCATCGAAGGAACCAAACACTATACAGTGCTTACTAAATATCTCTGAACCATTCGCATATTGAAAATGCAGTGGATTGCGTAAAGGCAGCTTCAGTTTACAGTATCATACATCACTTCATATTTAAACTAATTTGATTTCAGTGAAATTATTGTTATTTAATGGAAATAAACACCTCGTAGTTCATATCACGTTTGCCATGGAAGTGAAATCGATAATGAAAGAATAGCAAGTTAAAATTTCAGAGCGAAACCATTGCCACTATTCAAGCTGTTCGAGCTTGCAAGAGAGAAGTCATTGTTGATCAGCTTGGCGGTATCGGCTTTTGGCAGTATTGATCCGTTCATACTGCTTTTCTGAGACATCGCACTTGAGACGGATATATCTCGAGAGAATTCGAGGAACACCTGAAATATTGACTTCCAGAGCATGGACTGAGAAAGGCTGTCTTCAGAAGGCCCAACAGCTCCTCTTCGTGTTCAATAAATTTGTCAGCCCATCTGCATTATTACGATGAAAAAGGCGATAGAAAAAGCTTCTTTCAGCGAATGTAGCTCCTAACAACACGGGTTTTGAAATTTTTCTCCTCGCTGAGATGAACCGGAACAAAGGTGGATGACGCACAAAGATACGATCTAAGTGCATGGTACCACATGTTCCGTCATTTGGCTCTTACTGAGTGTTTCCTGCTGGGGAAGAATTGCCAAAATGACATCTGCTGGCTTCGCCTTCAATATCGTTCAACAGTTTTGACTTCTTCTTATCCAACTAGAGTGAATAGCACGCTCAGTCGACTGGAAGTGGTAATGGGTTTGAGCGATTGTATCAGTATCGACCCGATACTCTTTACTATTCAATGGTTTTCAGGACAAAGATAGCTGGTTCATAGAGCAGGAACAGGCTTCTTGACTGTGCATTTGATAGAAGAAGATAACAATTCATAATTTGTGGCTAGACAAACCTGTTCCAACGTTGTCTGACTAAGGGAGTAGTCCTCAAAATCAAACTCTCTCGAGAGTTCTTCCATCTTATCGAACAACAATGACCATGTCATACCGGGTCGTTTTTGTAACTCGTAGTTCAGCTGGAGAAGATGATGCTCCTAAAACCGGCGCGTTAGATCAGAAGCAAGTAAGTGATGACCTAAACTCCAGAGAATGTTCAGGTTCAGGCTTGCCCAACTTTTTTTATTAATGGTGCTGTGGTGGTGAGTAGGGCGTCTCTCGTTAAGGGTCAGAGTCTCTCTCTTTAGTGATCAGGTATATAAGAAAATCCATAGACAAGTCGCAAAAACAGCATGCTTCCTTTAACCTTGGATACCCGTCGAGCGAGTCATTGCTTTTAGGCTCATGCTTTATAAAAGTGTAAGTAAGCCATTAACGTCGCCCCACCCCCCTGACATACCAAGAAACAACGTCAGGCGCCAATAAGACTAAAATACATTGAAAACATCGTTTGCTCTTAGCACATCCTTTGCAAATTTTTAGGAAATGGAGGTTGTACTCCAGAATGTGGTTTTGCCACCGACATCGTTCTTGGGAATGCAGCTCAGCCAAACATAAAACAGTTTATCAGGAACCGTTGGTCCGATTAAGGTGAAATCTTGATTGAAGGCATAGCGATCGAGGAAGCCACATTTAACGTTCATCTTATTCAGGGTATGAAATTGAGTCTTTATAAAGCCAGTTTTGTTCACCTTCAAATTTGCTCCAGGGAAACTTCGTTGTATTGCGCTCTTCACTCGTTCAGCATCCTCACGTCGCCGAAGACGCACCAGCAGTGTGAAGCCGGCTCCGTATCGACTTTTTATGTGTTGACAACTACCATAGCATTTAAATCTCCCTAAAAGGACTTGTTCTCAAAGACTGACAAGATTGTTTCTAACTAAAACTGTCGCGAACCTACCGTAAACCATTATGGCTAGTTCCGTACACAGCGCCTCACATTCGTCCATACTGTGAGAGGTGAGTACCAGTGCTGTGCCTAAGCTTTGCACCTAGAAATGAGTGACTTGTAAGGAAAACCATTTATTTCACCACAAATTTTAGTGGGACAATCTATGCACATCCAAAAAGTAAAGGTCAGTTTGGTAAGAATAGAACAGTACTTTTTTTCAAAGAGGCAATTTCTCAACTAGAACTAATTTATGTAAGAATAGATATCACCTTCGTAAAAATATTCCAGATGATTCGCCGTGCTTTTGGATCGACACCAGTAGTTGGCTCGTCAAGGAGAAGGACCGGTGGTAGTCCGATTAGTGCAATTCCGAGCGACAAGCGTCGTTTATTTCCACCACTGAAACGCTTTACTCATTAACACCTT